TTTCGATTCTGGTTTGGGTTTGTCCCCATCGTGCAATGTCAGTCAGTTCAGTCTCATTTATCAAGTGCACCCATCAGAAACACAGACTACTGATCTCTGTCTGTGCAAGGGAAGTCTCAGCTCCCTCCAGTGGAACAGACAGTTGCCTCAAGTCTCCTGGCGTCCTTCCCAGAAACTTCTCCAATTTGCCAGGAGAGACCTAAGTGGGTCACATAAGGAGGCTGGGCCTGGTGTTGGGATCCCCGCCACCTCCCTGTGGGTGTCAGGATTCCGAGGTGGCTCTCCAGATTATTCTGCTATGTTCCTTACCTGCTCAGTCCCCCGCAGTCACGTTAGAGCCATATTTCTAAGTTCTCTTCTAGTTCTGGGCTTTCCTGGCTGTCTAGGGTTGCTTTAGTGTGTCCTTAGTTGCTTTTGTGCGTCCATAGAGCAGGGCCTCGGTCAGTGTGACATGGCCCTCAGAGGCCTGCCGGGAACTTGACCAAGACCTGCTGACTGACGCTCTCATCTTCTTGACTCAGCCCCAGTAAGGACCGTGGGATGTTCCAAAAGCCTATTGGTGGGGGTAGGAATGCCAGCATCTAGGATGGTGATTGCCTGTGAAGGGCGGGATGGGGATGCCGGCAGGGGAGGGTGTACAGGTGCTTAACTGTGGAAATGTTTACTTTCTTAAGCTGGCTTCTTGATACACAGGTGTTCCTTGTATCATCCTTTCTATCAATACTTGCCGAGGTCTTAAGGATTATATAACAGATTTTTTGAAAAGGCCTCGTCAGTGAGGCCTCATTACCTTATTCCTGCCATCGATGAGACGCCTGACAGCTGGTGTGGAGAGAAGCTGCCTCCCTCTCTTGAGAGAATCTTGCTGCTTTCGTGTCCCCAGTGGCCCTGGACACTCTGTCTCTCTCCCTCTTCCGGCTGGTCGGCTGAGCTCACAGTGACCCAACCTGGACAAACATGTTAGGCCCCTTCAGCACCTGGAGAAACCAACCCTGCTTCCCCGAGGAGAGGCTGCTGCGCTCAGCCCCGCGGAGCAGGGCCTTCCTGATGAGGCTTTGTCCTGTGAGGTTGGGGCTGAGAGCTGCTCCATCAGCCTTTGATCCCATCCTGTAACCCATTGACCGTGAGGACTGGCTCTCACCTGGAGCTGATGGTGCCGGGCAGCTTCCTGAGTATTTTCTGTATCATTGCTTATTTAACGTCACAGCAGCCACTGAGGCAGGTGCCGTGATTCTCCCATTTTACACCTGGGGAAGCTGAGGCATAGGAGAGTGAGGTGATTTGCCCGAGTTCACCCACCTTTTAAACGGCGAGGACACACTTCAGACCAGGCGGGGTGGCTCTAAGCCGGACCCCGCGTGGGGAGAGGAGGGCTGGGCGGGCAGGGAGGCCATGGGCTGGCTCCTCCTCAGCTGTACCCCGAGCTTCCGTCTCCCCACTCCCCAAGGGGAGCTCAGAGTCGGGGGGCCAGGGGACGGAGCCCACTCATCTTTGGGCGCCATGGCTGTGGAACCCTGACTGGTCACTTGTCAGCTGTGTCCCCTCCAGGGTTTTGCCTCCAGAACAGGTGAGTGCAGTTCTGCCGGGCTCCCTGCTGGACCCGGGGAGGTCATGGTCGTGGGTGTCCTGTCCCCTCCTCCAGCTCAGTTTGCCCAGCTGGCCCAGCTGAACCCCCAGGAGCGTCTGAGCCGGGAGACGGCCCTCCAGCAGAAGCAGGTGTCCCTGGAGGCCTGGCTGCAGCGCGAGGCCCAGACGCTGCAGCAGTACCGCGTGGTGAGTGGGCTCTGCGTCCCTCGCCTCCTGGGCGTGGAGGTGACACCCCGAGCCGAGCTGTCCCGGGGACCTGAGGGAGGCAGAGAGCCAGGAGGAGAGCGGGACCCAGCAGAGCAGGAGGCCAGAGCCTTCCCCCCTGTGTGGGCACGCAGGGCAGAGCGGGTCGGCAAGGGGTGAGGGGAGGCCCTGCGGCGTGTTCTGAGAGCCCAGAAGGGCCGCTCCCCCGCCGCCCGCCCCGCAGGAGCTGGCCGAGAAGCACCAGAAGACCCTGCAGCTGCTGCGGAAGCAGCAGACCATCATCCTGGATGACGAGCTGATCCAGTGGAAGCGGCGGCAGCAGCTGGCGGGGAACGGAGGCCCCCCCGAGGGCAGCCTGGACGTGCTACAATCCTGGTAATGGGTGTGGGGGGCCAGGTGGGGGCGGCAGGGGCTCAGCGTGGTGCCACCAGATGCTGCCCTGCTCCTGTGTTTACGTGAGCAGCCGGCTCCCTCTGTCGGGGCACAGGTCTTATTTCACCAGTGGTCTGGTTCCTGATGCAGACCTTGGTGCCCCCGTCCTGTGCCACCTTCCCCGGGAGGGGCGTCCCTGGGTGAGGGAGTGGGGTGGGGCCAGGTGTGCAGAGCGACGCTCAGGCTGGTTGGACCCAAGTCAGGGTCGCTCCTCCTGTGAGTTTCTTTGTGTTTCTGGAAGGCAGGGCAGCCGTGCTCCGCTCAGTGGGCAGGCCAGGCGGCTAAGGCGCGGAGCCTTCCTGGGGGTGGAGCTGGGTCTGGGCCTTCTCCCCAGCCTGGGAGCCTTCTGGCTTCTGGCCTGGAGGAAGCGGGTGAAGGCTTTGTCCTTCCCTTTGGCCTCGGGGCTCCTGTGCAGGTGTGAGAAGTTGGCGGAGATCATCTGGCAGAACCGGCAGCAGATCCGCAGAGCTGAGCACCTCTGCCAGCAGCTGCCCATCCCCGGCCCCGTGGAGGAGATGCTGGCTGAGGTCAACGCCACCATCACAGACATCATCTCAGCCCTGGTGACCAGGTGATTGCTGCCTCTTGGCCACGCCCAGGCCCCATCCGGTTGGCCGGGGTCGCGGGCAGCAGGATCTTTACAGACGGGGCGCTCTGGCTTAAACCCTTCCGTCTCTGCCTCACACCCTCATCCCATCCCCCTCTGCCGCCTGTTGCTGTGGCCTCTTGCTGTTCACCTTGCCCAGTTTCTCTCGTGGACACTGTATGGGCTTGTTCCCTGCAGCCCGTTTCAGCTGTTGAGTTCATCTCACTGCCTCCCCTCCTGCCAGCTCCCCCGACTCGAAGTGGCCCCCCCGGGACCGGGGGCTGTGCCACAAGCCCTTCCTTCGCCTGCTGTGCCCCGCGCAAGGTGGCCTCGCCACGCGGAGGGAGGGACCGGAGCGCTGTCCCCTGAGTCGTCACCTGGTCACTTGTGTCCCCGCAGCACGTTCATCATCGAGAAGCAGCCCCCTCAGGTCCTGAAGACCCAGACCAAGTTCGCAGCCACCGTGCGCCTGCTGGTGGGCGGGAAGCTGAACGTGCACATGAACCCCCCCCAGGTGAAGGCGACCATCATCAGTGAGCAGCAGGCCAAGTCGCTGCTCAAGAACGAGAACACCCGCAAGTACGTTGCCCT